CACAACCTGATATGTAGGTTACTCGGGGTACTGAGTCACACCCACAACCTGATATGTAGGTTACTCGGGGTACTGAGTCACACCCACAACCTGATATGTAGGTTACATCGGGGTACTGAGTCACACCCACAACCTGATTAGTTATATACATCTGAGTAACATGTATAATGTTCATTATCATTAAAACAATTTTAATTGACATCTTTATCGTAAATATTTAAATAGCTGCAATAGGCAGTGACCCAAGCAGATGTTTAAAATTAAAATGGTCTGAGACAGGTGCGTTATTGTCCGTTCTGTAACATGCTATTTGAGTAACAATTTGGAAGCTGTTGGAAGCACAGTATCACTGCATAACAGAACCCCAATATGTCTGTAGGCTAGAGTGTAGCACACATATCAGGTATAAGCTAGGTAGAATAGCACCAGCAGTTAGCACCTGAGAGGCAGCTTCTACTTATAACAATCATATTACAAAGCAATGCGATACATGAGAATTGGTGTGTCATGATGACAGATTTATGATTTTATAATCACAAATAAGAACAATCTGTAGCCTGAAAATTTAATGTGATTTATTAACCCCCTTTTTCAGTTTTTGATTGCATTTTGTCCTTTTGTCAGAACAGATGGTTGCACAAAACCCAGACTTGGTATGTTAGTTGCTCTAGGAAAAGGAAGAACTCTAGTGATTTGTCAAAGGTCAATGTTACTAAAAATGAAATATACAGTACTTGTCCTGACATTAACTTTATAAATGATAACACAAAGCTGAGACTTATTGTGTGCGTTGCCCTATAGAAGAAGAAAAGCCCTATTTGTACTAAAAATAGAATTTCACATAACCTAGCTATTGCCTGATGCTGACTTCAGAATAAAACATTGCATACATTTCCAACTTATGCAGGCTCCCCTAATGAAATTGAAAACAAATCTTACTGCTTTAAAGCATGGTTTGTCAAAGTTTAAGGTCATTGTCATTGAAAATACAGTTTTATTGTCCATATCCTATCCTTAGTGGTTGACCTAGTGGAGGTAAGGTACGCTATTGTTTTGGGCATGGTCCATAGAAGGTCAAGGTCACTTTTATTGAGAATGAAAGTTTGTTCCATCCCCCTTCAAAACAATTGATCCCACAAAGTTTAAATTGTATTGCCCTAGAGGCCAGAGGAGATGAAGAATGATGTTCATTTTGGAAGTGGTTTGTCAAAAGGTCAAGGTCAGCATTACTAAAAAAATAATATTTTAGAATCTAACTTTGAGGCTACAATTTCAGACTTGAAATACAATAGCAAGCATTTCCAAAACACAGCCCCTTCCAAATAAAAAATCTTTTATATATATATCCATAACAAATGTTGCTCAGAGGTTTTCAGGTGGGAAATCCTGCCCCTGGTACCTCTCCCGTTTCTCAATGCTATGAAATTATTTGTCTAAATATGGAAGATTGAATTTTTCTAATTTGTATGAAACTAATACCAGACAGTGTAGGATGCATCCGAGACTGTAAGTGAGGTGGTGTGAGCCTACTTTACAGACTAATTGAAGTAATCAATGTACTT